AAACGTGATTTTGGACGATTAAACAGATTTTAAAGAGAAAGGGAGGGTCAGTGAAGAACCGGAGTTGAGCCTTTTGTCATCCAGTGTCTTCAGTAGAAAGAGACACGACGAAACGATGAAGCTGATAAATGACAATGAGGTTGATCGTTTTCATTCATCATGCGATTGATTATGGTGACAGGCCTCGAGCTGACCCATGGGGCTCTGGTGGACATACTACAGGTTGGGGTAAAGGTCCACAGATGTTCCCTGGGCTTTATTGTGAAGGTAATGACGGATGGGTTGTGTGACGTGACGGGTAAGACAGTTATTGATCCTGCAGGAAGTGGTTGTCCCAGAGTTTCAGTACATGCTTCTGATGAAGGAACACCGCAGGACGGTTACAAAAAGTGAGCCAGGACATCACACCCTGCGGGGCAAAGCTGAGACCCGGGTCAAGAGTTCAGGACTTACTCTAGCTGGTCGTAGTTGACACACATGAGGGGGACCTCGGTGCTGCAGCGCTGGTGGAACTTGTAGCCACAGGTCTGACAGCGGAAACCCTGAAACAGCAGCTTTCTGCAGAAATCACAGAAGGCCAGCGTGAAGAAGGTCTTCCTTACCTGTGGAACACAGAAAGACACAGTCAGAACCTGCTCACCGTCATGCTGAGCCCCAGCAGACCCAGTGCTCAAACTGGTTTTCCTGTTTCAATAGAAAACTCAGTCGCTCCAAGTCTGGAAGGAACGGTTTGTTTAGACTCAAACAGAACAAGATGTGAAACACCGAGGAGACAAAGGAGGCCCAGACTCCATGAAGGAGTCACCCAACAACCTTCTGATACATGTAGTGAAACATGTCCAGTGGGTCAGGAGATATTTTGCTAACAAATACATGTGCACAAACATGAGTGGCATTTTGACAGAAGGTCAAAATAACACTGAAAATAAAATGAACATTTGAACCAAGACAAGAAAACTGAGAAGAGTGAAACACTTTGAACACTTACAAAGTTGTGTGTGGTGAGCGGCACGTTCTCCAGAACTTCCACGTGCAGCTCTTCTCCTGTCAGCCACGAGATGTCCGTGTCCCAGCCAATAGGCTTCTTCTCTCTGAAACAGGAAGTCAAAAGCTCGGTGGAGGACTGAGAGCAATCAGAAGCTGCAAACCAAGTGGTGCAAACCCAACACGGCTGGTGTCCAGCACCTCGTGGTTCACACCTACAAACACTCAGGTCCAGCTCTATAAACTCACAGGAGGACTACAACACCTGTGGACAGGTGGACCACAACCCCTGTGGACAGGTGGACCACAACACCTGTGGACAGGTGGACCACAACCCCTGTGGACAGGTGGACCACAACCCCTGTGGACAGGTGGACCACAACACCTGTGGACAGGTGGACCACAACCCCTGTGGACAGGTGGAC